ACCACATACTAAAGTGACCCAGATCGGATTTGAAAATATCGGGTTTGTGCCGTTCACACTGTCACACCATGATTGGATAGATGGGTCACAGAGGGTCAAAGAAGTCGGGTTTGATGCGCTTTCGCCTGAGTGTGAACGTAGCCTTAGAGCCTGAGCCTGTGCAGGTATGGGAAAGACAATTTCTAAGCTGAACATCAGCTGATGTTCAGACTCAGTTTCCCCATGAATAGCAGTGTGGTGTGGAAGGAGGACCGAGCTTCCAGATAAAGGATACAGGTGGAACAACACCAACACATGGAGAAAGTTTGCACATATCTACTCGAACAGCATGCCTGCCTTACCCTGCCTTGAAGGTGGGGGGCTCAGAGATATTGATGTGTGTTGCAGCACTGCTGAAATCACCTGCAGACCTGCTGCAATAGTTCAATACTTATTTTACCTGCTGTGAAATGCACAATAATGTATGGTTCCATCCACTGCAGATATCGACTAACTGACAGATACTAACAGTCCTTTAACATGCACAGCTTTCTGTAGCTCTACTGACTCACCAGTACAACAGGTAGTCCGCTCACCACAGAGTACAGTATGATAGGCGGCATGCGGCTGTTCTGCTCAGGTCCAGGATCAGGTTTGGTCAAAGTGGGGTCTCTGCAAATGAAGCCCTGCTCTGCTGGACTGAAAGTGTCAGTGAACTCACAGTAGTAAACCAGCATGACTGTAGCAGCGAGTATCACCACCTGGAAGTACAGCATGATGGCGTCAGCATCGAACAAGGCTGCAGACGGTTACCACATTAGTCCAGGTGAACAGGAAAATCCAGCTTTGAGGTCTTTACTGCTGATGCAATGAAGACAAAGTAGCCATTCAAATTTCAGTCACCATGTTTTTCCAAATCCAGTTTCAAGATTTCTGTTTTTGTCACTATAATTGGAAATCCAGCCGTCACGGTTTATAACAATAACTGTCGAGCAATACAGAGGTTAGGCACAGAAATCTAAATGCAGACAGTGGTGATGATTCCACTGGTGACCAGGCTGTTGGAGGAAAGCCACAGTGACTCTGTGAGTGGGAAACCTCGTCCTTCCACTCCTGTGACTTTACTGAATCAGTGAGTGGACCGGCGAGTTCATTCTGTGTCAGTGAACAATCTCTAAAGAGTCACAGTCTGCTGAACACAAACTCAGCAGGTCGAGTGAATAGGAGAGAGCGTTGAGAGCTTTTCAGTACACGTCACAGGTTAGGTCAATAGGCTGTAAATAAAAGATGGATGTAATCACGTGTCATCTGACATTTTAAAGTTTCTTTTTTTTTTTTTTTTTTAAATTATTTATTTTTTTTTATTTTCAGTTGTTACAGACAGGACAGACATGAGTGAAAAAAATTAACTGAATAAAGAAAGAGGAAGGAAAAGCA